CGTGGGATCTGACGCAGGCGTGATGGTGACTGTGGCTGTGTCTCGCACCAGCGCTCAATCGCGCCTACAATCTGTTTAACTCTGTTATGTCACCGTCCACAGATGGGCGAGGGGAAAGAGGGTGCAGTAGTTGCAACGCACGTCACACCGCGGAGCATACGGTAGACGTCATCGTAATCGACGATCACATTCTCATGCCGGAAATCGTTCGAGAAATCAGCCATCGTTTTACGCTTAGTATGATGGTCTTCAGGGCATGTGTGATGGAGGATTTCTTTGCGGTTAGTTTACAAGTAAATGGTCTAGCAACATCTCACGAAGTCGGTCGAGTGGACATTGAATTGCAGGAAAACTCCATATTGTCATTCAGTCACGCATAATGAGTGCAGATTATTAAGGAGTAAATGGCCCCATTATTAGAGGTCTATGAAAAGAAGAGAGGCCAGTTATTGAAGAGGAAGCTAAGACACGGAGTTTTGCTTCATACGCACCCTATAGGGGTTCAGATAAAATGAAGAAAAGGTATGACAGCATCTAGCACGACGGGTACAGGAAGCTTCTGCAGAAGTGATGAACCCAAGACAACTCAGCGGAATAATCTGGGACAAAAGTTATTAAAAGCTTTATGACTAGGCATAATGCAGATTGAGCAACAATCATCAGCCCAGCTTTTGATGTCAGTTTGCAAGAATGCATGAAAACAAATGTGAGATGATCAGGGGCATTTTGGGAGGGGCGGAGAAATATGATCAGATCCAGCAGCTGTTGAGTTGCAGGCTACCCGACGAGGCTTTTGAACAACAGCCCCCAACACTACCCATAGGGCATACTGTACTGATGGGAAGTTACTTGAATAATTAGTAAAGATATGGGGAGTAAATATAAAAGTCTAAATGATCGGCAAAGTGAAATATGGTTGCCTGGCTAACACAAATGAACCAAAATTGGCTGTCCCAGTCTATCCTATATTTGTCGGTAGTTACGTTCTAAACATTAAAATTAGTTTACATTCGTAAAAGTGTCTGGTGTTTCAATGAATGACGACGAGGGCGCTAAATTTGCTGCAACGTGAAGTAAAAGTTGGAAAATCAATGACAACATGATTCTGAGGCACTGTTTTGGCGACTGAATTCCGTCAATAATTAGCGAGCACTGTCACTTACGCTGAACTGATGGCCTTAATTGTTGTTATACTTTGCTGAAAATACAAATTTAATTTACCTATAAAGATATATATAGATGAATGTATGTGTTTCGCCGATCTAGTAGAGGAACAATTAAATTCCGCTTTGCCAAGGAGCTCGCAACGCAAAACCTCAAGACCGTCACATAGT